TTTGGATATTGAATATAAAGAGAGCCTTTTGTGCCTTTATATCTTTCCTTAGTCACCCTTGGCTAATTCGGCCACCTCCCTCCCATCTCCACCTTGAGAGAAACAACCCTAGAAGTGGCCTTCATCATCATGAAGTGAGCCAACCCTAGAGTACCCTTCTCAAGCATTTCCTCAAACACCTTCTACCCAACCTCCATTTTCATCCATTCTATCATCATCCACCCTAAAAACTTGTGCCACCTTTGAAGAACTTGATCCTTGGAGTGAGGCATCATCTTCCTTGTCCATCATCTCATGTCCATGCAAGTGAGGATGCCATCACAACCCATGCTCGGTGTGGCTATATATATATATATATATATATCATTATTCTTTATTTATAGGGCTATATTACGTAAGATAATCTTATTTGAATTAGATATTTTATTATAGATAACAAAAATTGTCGATTTGAATGTTTAATTTAATTACATATCAAAACTTAATCTTAGGACTACCGATTATGCTAAAATCATTTTGTATCAGTTCATAAACATGTTTGATAATGTTGGTACATTATTGATTGAAGAAAAACACATTGATTTAATTAAAAAATAAAAAAATAAAAAGAACATTGATTTTCATTTTCTCCACTTGTCACCCTTGTTCACATCTGCACCACATTTTTGAAGTGTAGCTGAGCCAAACAATAAGGTTTCAGTCCTTTTCTGGCCACCCCTCACCAATATTGACCCTTTTGTATTGTTTTGCATTGGTCCCACAACACATGCTAGTAGTGGCTATGCCTTGCTTCCCTTTATCTTTCTTTTTGTTTGTTTTATTTCTTGCACATGAGAATGGGATATTTTTAAGTACAGTGTTGTTACATTTAGTTAGTATTTCACTCCTTTTTTTTTTAACCTCTCTTCTTAAAAACAGAAGCCACAACCATTTATTTTTGAAAAATTGTTAATAAAACTAATCAACTTAATTTTTTTATATTTATAAAAGGGAAAATAAGTAGTTTATTTTAAGAAATAAATGAATGAAAAAGTCTTTTTCTTTTTAAATAATTTCTTTTTCTCTCTTTGCCTTCCTCTCTCTCTCTCCAACCTCCTCACTTTTTTTTTTTATTTCTTTTTCTTTTCTCACTTTATCTTCTCTTTCTAACTTTCCTTTATTAATGTTTAACTTGCATCCTCTCCAATCATGTTTCTTTGCACCCGCATGCCTACGAAATCCTAATCATTAATTGGGTAGTGCAACTATTTGGAACTAGATGCATGAGAGAATCTAAGTCCGTTTTTATTTTGTTTTTAGATATTTATGTTTTTTATGACCTAACAAATATCTAACAAGGAGTTAATATTAATTGAGTTGATTTGCAGCTAAGAAGAATGAAATTCTCTTTCTTTTTCCTTGATATAATCAACATTATCCAAATTTACAAGTAGACCTAATTAGTCCCCTTTTATACCATATTGACCTACTAAAGATAAAGTACTCAAACTAAAATCACTAATTAAACTAAAATACCTCAATAGCAAGTTGTCTGTCTCTAACCGGGTGCAACGGTTTGTTTGTTGCAATATCACTCTTGGGTCCCAGGTTCGAGACATGACATGCATCATCCAAACCAAAACCTCAATAGCAAGTTATTTCAGTTATTTGTGTTAAGTTAAAAATATTATCAAATGGTTTTTACTTTATTTTTAAAGTTTATATTAAATTTAATTTTAAAATGATTTCAAGTAAAAACAAAAATAGCCAAACATGTCGTTGACACAAAGATATATATATATATATATATATATGAATTTTTCAAATAAAATAATGATATGTGAATGTTATTGTGTATTTGTGTGTATGTGTTTGTAAGTAAATTCGTAAATAATTAGAATTAGAATTTAAAATAAATTTAAGACAAAAATGATTTAAATTAGAGTTAATCACTTATACATTGTTAGTGTATAGTTTTTTACACTGGTAGTCAATCAGAGTCGTTAATAGTGTCTTTTTTATTTTAATTTAATTAAATGAGCAGATAAAAAGATATTATTAACGGCTCTGATTGACTGCCAATATAAAAAAACTTTACACTAACAATGTATAAGCGGTTAACTCTTTAAATTATTATTATTCATTTATTATTTTTTAAATTATATTTCTATTTTTCATTTATTTATTTACCAACTTCTTTGGAAGCTTTTTCTCAGTTTTGTCAAACCTTACATTGGAAAAAATAGGAGGCATTGCACTAAAGTCTAACTCAAATCATGCTATAATTTTTGCACTATTGCAAATAAATAACCAACATCAAATATCAAAATCAAGCTTTTTTTTAATGCATGTACATTTCTTTTAAATTTTCTCACTTTATATTTTCATTCTCTATCCAAGTAATTTTTTTTATTTATTTGATTGAAAATTGTCTTTATTAGTTTTGTTCTCTTTATTCTTGTTAATGTGAGAATTATTATGGTGTTTTCTTGAATTTTTTGTCACAATAGTCGTGAAGTTTATACATGTTACAACTTGGATAATACGTTTGTTGGTTATTCTCCTATTTTTAAGTTGCTGCATTTGGTTCATGATCAACTTAAGTTTGGTAAAGAGATTGTTGCATAAAAAGTCGGAATGGGGTTACATAATGAGCAACAATGACAATATTTTGGCACTCTTTAAATAAGATAACTATTTTCATTTGTTAAAAGAACCACTTAACTTCTTAGATGAACTTGACATGTGTATTTTAAAATATACTTTAGTTGAAATTTTATATTTAGGTATTATTATTTTAAATGTTGTTAAAATATTTGTTCAACATATTTTATTTTTGTAATTTAAAGATTAAGATAGTTTTTTTTTCTTTAATAACTTTATTTTTTTTAAGAACCAGATAATCTACAATCTATAAACCTATAATTTATAAATAAACTTTTTAAGAAAAATTATACATATAAATAATTAGTTATAAAAATTATTTATTATTTTGAAATTTTAAAATCTATTAACCTTTAATCATTATTATAGTAAGACTGAGACATGTGAAAAAAATAATAAGATTGAGAGTTCTTATTACTGTAAAGTTGAAAATTTTCTTATTAGAATTCATTTAAACCTATAAAGAATTAGAGTTAGAATTTAAAATAAATTTGATATACAATGATGATTTTAAAAAAAAATTACTAAAACTTTATCAAATTTCAAATTTAAAAGATTACGTTTAATTTATAGTTAAAGTTTAAAAGATAAGAAATAAAAAAATTACTCAAATATGATGGTGAACTTAAACAAAAGATTATTCAAGATAAATTAAATAAATTTTTTTAATCAACTATAACAAAATAAAATAAAGTTACTAAATAATTTCAATGAAGATAATTCTATCATAAGAAAATAAAACCAACTAACTAAACCCTAAGCCTTAATTCATAAACTTTAAAACTAAACTCTAAATATAAAAGTATACCATCCCAAATATAATCCAACAATGTAGGGGATGATGACATTGATCAATGGCTTAAAGGAGGAGAACACTCAAGCAAGGGAAAAAGAAGATGCCATCAAAAGGAAGAATGAATAGATCCAATTGTGAGCAAATGAGATACAAGCAACCATAGCGGCCAATCCTAGGTCGATTGATGAGGATGTAATGGTGGAAGTACAAAGGTTATTTAGGCCTTTCTTAGAGGTGATTGAGTCTAAAGTCATCCCACAAGAGCACATGTTGCCTCAAATTGAACATTTTGATGGAACGTAGGATGCTAATAGGGATGGCAACATGGTAGGTCAGGTACGAGTTTCATGATACCCGTTCCCGTTCCCGTGAGTTAAATTCATCCTCGTTCCCGTACCCGTACCTATCGGGTATATAATTTTCATCCTCATCCTCGTCCCCGTCAAGTATCTAGTATTTTCGTACCCGTACTCATACTCGTCAAAAAATTATTTTTTTTAAAAAAAAAAAATACACAATATTTTAAAATTATTTTTCTATTATATTATAATTATAATTAGGTTGTTTTTCTATCTCATATTATAATAAATAATCACACATAATAAAATATTAAAATTGTTTAACATAATTAAATCGAAAGTGGGTATTAAATTGAGAATAAAAATGGGGACGGGTAAGTATATACACGTGCCCGTACTCAGTTTAATATATCGGGTTTTACCCGTACCCGTACCCGGTCAAACCGGGTATTCCCCATCAAAGTTAGGACGGGTTCGGGTATTACCTACGAGTACGGGTATATTTGTCATCCCTAGATGCTAGTCAACATTTGACAGACTTTTAAACTCAAATGTTGATCTATGGGGAGAGCATGTGGGTACAATGCAACATATTCATGGGAAACTTGAAGAAAGCAATCTTAGATTGGTTTAGTGGTTTCCAGACTGATCAATCATCGATTTTGATGTGTTCAGTCGTTTGCTTGTGGCATAATTCATGTAAATAAACGAAAACATATGTCTAATTTATTCTATCTAAAGCAAGAACAGGAAAAATCTTTGAAAGACTTTCTCCAAAGATTCAATGAGGTGCTTTTAAGGATAATGTCTTTGGACGAAAGGATGGTAGTTGTAGTATTCCAAAAAGGCATGAGATCGAACAACTTTGATGTCTCTTTATAAAAATAAAAATAAAAAGAATTACCAAACAATGGTCGGAGTAAGAGCTTTCACTCTAAGTTATATAAAGATAAAGGAAGGGCAAATTAGTAAGAGAGAACCCAAGAACTGAAAGTTGGCTGTGAATAATGAGGAGGGGAGTAAGCACTTTCACCCATGGTCCAATTGGAATAAAAAGAAAGACCACTACATTCCAAAAAGAGGAGAAAACTTTAAGCAATCATATGCATACATATGGCAGGAATAATTCCAAGAAGGTTAGCAATACTCCAACAAATAGCTTTCCTATGGTCACTCAAAACTTGCAACAATCTCTCCTCTTGGTTTTATTTGAGACTGATGGCTATAATGACTAGAAGCCTTTGGTTGTGCTCTAGGTAGGCATACTTCATATGTGCATGTAGAGGTTTAAGCTCTAATGATGACGGTTATACAATAGATGACAATGAAGGTGGGGGAAGTTGACTCAATTATTGGTGGTGAAACATCTAATGATGTAGCTAAATTTGTTGTACTTGAAATAACAACACTAATTTCTGCACAAATAGCACACATAAATCAATCATCACAAGTATACTGTGAGTTAGTGAAATCAACAAAATCAGCAAAATCATCAAAATCATCAAAATCTGTGCAATCATCAACATAAAGTAGGACATGCATATGAAGGATGATCTTTGGAAGCACAAATGCTATATACTCTTGCTGGAAACTTAGTTATTGCACTTACCTATTATTGTTGGCCAATTGTCAGGTGCCTCACCATGGTAGTCAGCTCATTCAACTTATTTTCCAGCCTTTGATTATTTGCATTAGAAAGAACACCAACACCAACACTAATTACCAACTTATTTGCTCTCTTAACAACTCCTCTAAATCCAAATTGTTGAGTGTTAGCTACCATGTTTGTAATGACTAGCCTTGCAGCAAATGTTGTCTTATCCATCAATGCTCTTCCATTGGCTACATCAATCATGCTCCTATCCATCAATATCAATCCCTCATAGAAATATTGTAGCAACAATTGCTCATTAATTTGGTGATGAGGACAAGTGGTATAGAACTTGTTGAATCTCTCCCAGTACTCATACAAATTCTCACCATTTTGTTGTCTTATTCTACAAATCTCGTTTCTAATTTCTATAGTTCTGGAGGCAAGAAAATTTTTTTTTTCAAGGAATAATCTTTTTATCTCATGCCATGTAGTGATGGTTGTTGGTAAAAATAAACCCAATCTTTTGCAGCACCATTTAAAGATAAAGGAAATGCCTTTATTTTGATATGATCTTATGGTACTCCTTAAGGTCTCATGGTGGAACACACTACATGGAATTCCTTTAAATGCTTATGAGGATCTTCACCTACAAGTCCATGAAACTTAGGCAACAAATGGTTAGCCCATATTTAAGCTTGTAATTAACTTGATTTTTAGGATATTGGACACATCATGGTTGATACACAACATTAGGTGTAGCCAATTCTTTCAAGGACAACTAACAATTGTTATCCATGTTTTCAATTTCAAAAATTTTAGAATTACAATAATGAAAATAAAAAATAAAAGGATCAACAAAAGTAGGACTAACAACTATAGGACTATTAACTACACTACCATTATTCCTAACTTTTAACCTATAAGTGTTCTTTCTATCTCTCGATCCAAATCACACAAAACTCCATGATTAGATCCATTCATACATTACGGAATACACACAAGGCACAAAGTAACTGCACAACTACAAAATTGAAAAGTCAATAGAAAGTCAAAATCGAAAGAAAAGTCAAATATACATGTAACAAGTCCTATAATATGCAAACTCTACCAAATGAATTTTAAAAAATATTTCAACAATAAATCATCATTCCATATCATATTTCCTATTTTTTGTAATATGGTAATTTTTAAAATTTCAAAAATAAAAATGAACAAATTGAAAAAGTGGTTTAAATGAAGGAATTTGACAAAATTTCAACCCAATCGGAGCTACTTCAACCAAATGACCAAAATACCTCAATCAAATTTTTTTTTGAAACTCTTAGAGGATGAAGGAATTTGGCAATTCTGAGGTCATCTTACATCCAAAGGGGGTAAGTTTGCTCAGAATCACGTTTTACCTTTAGAGACCAAATTTCACCTCAATCAGACAAGAAATGAAAATTTTAGCTAGGGTTTAGAGATAACTTTTGATTTCTTCCACTCCTATAATTTATACTAGCCCTCTGTTCTCATCCTCTGTTACAGTAGCCAACTTGCAAAATTAGAGATCAAAATAGAGACAGAAAGAAAACAAAAATAGATATAGAAACAAAAAAAATCAAATCATTAATACTTAACACAACGGTTAGTAGATATAGAAATAATTAATCAAAAAGTTAATAGGCATCATAAAATCATAAAATAATGACTTGTCTCCTCAGCAACGACGCCATTTTGATAGCATTGCCGAGTCACTATTAAAAGTAAACTAGATTTCCCTTTAAAATTTGCAATATAGGGAACAACCTAGATCATTCTTTACGAAGACACAAGCATATTTAATTTGTATTTTATCACACAACTAGCAAGGGGATTTTTAATATTTCAACACATTATTTAATAAACAAAACAAAGAATTAAGAATCGAAAATTTAATCAAAGAAATATCGATTTAAGGTTTTAATCCATACGGTAAAATTTTCGTAGTTCAACAATAAATCCAAACCCTCAATCAACCTAATTCAACATAAACTTCATAAAAAATGTAGATCTAATCTAGATCTATGAATTTCATCAAAACATGAAATGCAATCGCGATCTCACAATTTTAATAAAATTCAAGAATAGTGAACTATTGAATTAAACAATTTAGGTTATTTTAGGTCTAAATCTAAATCTAAATTTTGATATAAAATTAATCTTCAAGCTCTATTCTAGATCTAAAATGAAATTCATAATCATGAAAAATGAAAGAGAAATCTAGAATAGAGAAGAAGAGAAATAGAGAATTTGTTTGGTAAAAAGATCGCGAACTCAAATTTTATCGTAGTTCTTGAAACCTAGAATTGATTAACGGATTAGACACATCATAATCATGTTATAGCAAACCAATTCGTGTAAGCAAGAGAGAAAATCAGAGAGAGAGAGAATTTTAGAGAAACTTATTATAGAAGAAGTAACTCTAAAATCTAAAAAATGAGAATTATGATGTCAAGTGTACATGTGTTGCACTTATTTATAGACTACACTAATGGGCCTAATAATTTGAGTAATTAAAGGTACAACCCACTAAATCAACTAATTACATTACTAAATAAATCCTAACATTACAATCTAAAAGGAAAAAAGAAAATGTTATGTAGGGCTGCAACTTTTCAATGCAATTTTGGGTCACTTAACGTCCAAACTAACCTTTGATCCCAACAAAGAAGTTTTATAATTCTCTATTATCTTTCTAGGGACACCAAGAACACCCAAATCTGATGTCAGGATCTCAAGATATGACATTCACAAGAAATAATGTCAAAATAGAAAAAGTTACAAAAATTAACTAGAATTTACAATTAAGACCAAAATGACTCGCTAGAACAAATCAAAGCTAAAATGTCACAATATGATACTGATAAAAGTTAAGTAAACAAAAATAATGCATAAAAATATATACAAAAATTGATTTATTAGTATTCACGGATTACATGAATAGGATCTTTCACCCATACCTTGATAAGTTTGTAGTAGTCTTCATAGACGACATCCTCATATATTCTAAGACTAGGGAAGAGCATACTAAGCATCCTAGTATAGTGTTGCAAATCCTTAAGGATAAGCAATTTTTTGCTATGTTGTCTGAGTGTGAGTTCTAGATGGATAATGTGAGCTTCTTAAAACATGTGATAACTAAGGGAGGGATAGTTGTAGACCCTTCTAAGGTAGAAGTTATTTTAGAGTGGAAAACACCTTAGTTGATTTTTTAGATTAGAAGTTTCCTATGATTAACTGGTTACTATAGGCAATTTATAGAGAATTTCTCTAGGTTAGCCTTGCCTTTAACTAAATTAACTAGGAAAAACCAACCTTTCATGTGAGACTCTAAGTGTGAGGAGAACTTTCAAGAGCTTGAGAGAAGATTGACTAGTGCACCTATGTTAGTATTACCTGATTCTAATGAGGCCTTTCTAGTGTATTGTGACACTTCAAAAATGGGTTTAGGAGGAGTGCTTATAAAAAAGAGGAAAGTAGTGACTTATGCATTTAGGCAGTTGAAAATCCATGAACAGAACTACCCTACCCATGATCTAGAGTTAGTTGCCATAGTTTTTGTGTTAAAGTTATGGAGGTAGTACTTGTTTGGATATAGATTTAAGGTATTTAGTGACCATAAAAGCCTTAAGTACCTTTTTGACCAAAAAGAGCTTAACATGAGACAAAGGAGATGGTTAAAATTTCTTAAGGATTATGATTTTGAGCTTAGTTATCACCTCGATAAAGTTAATGTAGTAACTGATGCCTTGAGTAGGAAATCTCTTCAAGTGTCTACTTTGATGGTTAGAAAGCTTAGCTTGTTAGAAGAGTTTAGAAACTTTAGGTTGGCTTTTGAGTTGACCCCTAAAAGTATTAAATTAGGAACCTTGAGAGTGACCAATAGCTTGATAGATGAGATTAGAAAGGGCCAAAAGATAGACCCTTTATTGTTGAGTCAAGTAGAGAAATTGAACTAAGGGAAAGAAAGTGAATTTAGAGTTGGTGTAGATGAAGCATTAAAGCTTAAGGATAGGTTGGCTGTTCTTTGTGTATCCAAGCTTAAGAAGATGATCCTTGAGGAAGGTCATAACAATAGCCTTAAAATCCACCCAAGAGCCACTAAGATGTATCAAGACCTTAAGAAGATGTTTTGGGTGGCCTAGGGTGAAGAGGGAGATAGAAGAGTTTGTATATGCTTGTCTAGTGTGTCAAAAGTCTAAGGTAGAACACCAAAAACCTTTAGGAAAGTTGCAACTCTTAAATATACTTATGTGGAAATGGGATAGTATGCCCATGAACTTTGTGGTTGGGTTACCTAAAATTGCAAAGAATCTAGATTCCATATAGGTTATAGTGGATAGACTAAAAAAGTATACTCACTTTATCCCTATCAACATTAGATATGCTTTGAAGAGGTTGACCAAGTTGTATATAAGTAAGATTGTAAGGATACATGGGTTTATTGCAAGTATAGTTTTTGATAGAGACCTAAGGTTTACCTCTAGATTCTAAGATAGCTTGCATAAAGCTTTAGGTACCAAGCTTAGGTTGTGTTCAACTTATCACCTTCAAAAAGATGGCCAAATCGAGAGAACCATATAGTCTATAGAGGACTTGTTAAGAGCATGTCTCTTAGAACATGGGGCTAGTTGGGATAATTATCTACCTATGATGGAGTTTACCTATAATAATAGCCACCATTCCAGTATTGGGATGACACCCTATGAGGCACTCTACGTTAGAAGATGATGAACACTCTTATGTTGGATAGAACTTGGGGAGAGTTTCATGTTAGGGCTTGAGGTAGTTCAACAAACTACTGAGAAGGTGAGATTAATCCAAGATAGAATGAGAGCATCCTAGAGTAGGTAGAAGAACTACCATGATAAGAGAAGGAAAGACCTTGAATTTAAAGACGGAAATCATGTATTCCTTAAGGTATCTCCTTGGACTGAAGTTGGTAGAGCACTTAAATCACACAAGCTTACTCCACGATTTATTGGTACCTATCAAATCCTTAAGAGGATTGGTAATGTTGCTTACCAAATCACTTTTCCCTTGTCCCTTTTTAATTGCATGATGTCTTTCATGTTTTCCAACTTTGAAAATACATTCATGACCTATCCCATATTGAGTTCGACAACATTCAGTTGAAGGGTAACCTCACCTATAAAAATATTCCTTTGAGGATTGAGGATAAGAGGGTGAAAAGACTGAGAGGTAAAAAATTCCTTTAGCCAAGGTTGTTTAGGGTTGAAACATTGAAGAAAGTGCTACGTATGAGCTAGAGAGTCAAATGCAGGAAGTGTATCCATTTTTTTTCTTTAGGTAATTTCGGGGATGAAATTTTTAAAAGGAAGGGAGAGTTGTAATGCCTTATTTTTCATAAAATATAATATAATTATTTAATTAATAATTTTGG